AAGTCTCACTGTCCTTTCCCCCTTTCCTTCCACACGTTGTCGTGTCTCCATCTTTCAACCAAAATTCTGCCCAGTTCTTCCCAGGCACCCTTAACAAACAAATTTCCCTGTAATTTTTGTCTTTACTTTTTTTACCTTTCCTTCATTATAAAGCAACAGGAATACCCTTCTTCCAAACATCGGGCACAGATCTGTACTAGGATTTCCAAGGGCCCTGAAGATGTGGCCTTTTCTTCTTTTCCTTGTTCCCATCCAGGTTTGTTTTCCCTGCCACCTTTGTTCCTTTGGTTTTGGGTGGTTTTGGGGTGGTTTCCTTGTTTTTCAACGTTTTCACTGCCCAGAGTCTCTGGGAGTCGGGTGGGATATCCATTTAATACATTATTATTATGTTCAATGTCGCACAGCCACTCCATAAGCAAACCACACCCATATTTTAACACATCTCCAGCGACACCAGCCACATCTGGAGCCTCACTATATTTCAACACTCATTTGCCACTTCCTTTTCCCCGTTGGTTTTTTTCTTGGACACAGTTCCTTTCAGTTCTATTTTTTGCAATACCGCGGTCATTCCCCTGTAAACTCTAAATCCTCCTTTCAGCGTTCCTTCCCCTCGACTTCAGCTCAAATCATTTCGTCGTTTTTATTTTTCGTTCCCTACAGCGCTCTGGAGACAGGCTCCGGCCTTTTCATTCCCCCAACGATTGCAGGGAGGAAAGAGTTAGGGTCTTAAAATCGGGAGTCTGGTAGCATTTCTTCCAACAGCTTGTATTAAAGGGCGTAATGCGCATAGAGGTGGATGGAGTGGCTAGGCTCACGGAGGATTTAAATCAGGGTGAGATGGGATGGGGGAATCGCCCCCCACAGCAAGTAAGGGATAGTTTCTCAATAGCTAGTCCATTTCAGTTTCCCCCCTGTTCAGGAATGGGTCTACTTTGGGGATGTTTCAGCCTAAGGAAGGCCAGGCAGAATCCGAAAGTGAGACCCTCCCCATTCCTACAGCAATGTCCTGCTGGGGATGTTTTCCTTGCCGGCTGGTGACAGGCTGAAGGGGGACAGCAGCCAAGCCGGAGGAGACATCCAATCCCCCATCCTACCGCAACTGGCACGCTCAACAGGTGATGTCAGTCAGCAGGGATGCAGAATACAGGTGGTCCTCAGTTTACGGCCATTTGTTCGACGACTGTTCAAAGTTACAGCTACACTGAAAAAATGGATATGCAACTGGTCTTCGAAGTTCAGGCCATCTCAGCACCCCCCATGGTCACGTGATTGCAATCTAGGCGCTCGGGTGCCCAGCTTATGATGATGACATCGCAGGGAGCTGCGGTCACATGATCGCCATTTGTGACCTTCCCTACTGGCTTCCCAGTGTGTCTTGGGGTTATGACGGCAACTAGGATTTCAGTTGCTAAGCGATGTGGTCACATGACATCACGCTTTATGAACTCATTGCTTAGTGACTGCAGTCCTGATCCCAACTGCCATCATAACCCGAAGACTACCTATAGAGGCAACATGGATCAGCAGTGGGGACAGAGAATGTTATGCCAGCATTGTTCTGTGTTGACTCAAGGATGGATGAGTGACACTTTAACTCGGTAGTGGGGAAAGGCTGTCATTCTAGAATCACATGCAGTTTGAAGACACTATTAAATAGTTTGTCCAGTTAGCGTGTGTGTGTGTGTGTTGTGTGATTTCTCTCTGGAGGTCTCAAGGTCGAGACCTGCCAAAATGTAGCTGAGGGACTTGCCTCTAACCTGGTTACATGGAAACATATCTTTGCTTGTCCTGAAGGTGTGTAGGCTGTACTGTACATAAAATGGGCATCCTTTTCTGTTTGATAGTGTTATTTCAAGACAAACTCATCAAACAGCAGACCAGAAATCCCAACTTTGGTTACAGATAGGCTTGCCTTCATTGCTCATGATGGAAAGTGGATTAACTTCAAAAATGGGGGGATTGGTTTTAAATTATCTTTGCTTACCACCCCATCCTGATGAATACAGGTAGTCCTTGATTTCCGACAGCAACCAGGACTTGCAGAGATTGCTGTCGTAAAGCATGACTGCATAGCTTGGCGACAGCAATCCTTGCAGTCCCGGTTGCTGTTAACTGAATCTCACGGTTGTTAGGCGAGACAACTTCCTGCCAGCTTCCCACAACCAACATTAGTGGGGAAGCTGGGAGGAAGTTGCAAGTCCCAGGCCAGCAGACAGATGAGTGGCTGCTGCCAGATGGGGGAAGGAGAGAGGGGGTGCATGGGGGTGTGAGGGAGAGTCAAGGGGCTACATGAGGGCGTGGGGGGGTGTGTGGTCAGGGGGTGCATGAGGGTACAAGGAAGGGTTGAGGAGGGTATGAGGGTGTGCGTGAGGGTTTGTGAGGGGGTGCACGAGAGGCACAGCATGGGTCAGGAAGGGT